GGGGGGGGGGGGGGGGGGCAGAGCTGCTTTCTGTTCGGGGTTCATTTCGACGGCTTTTGGGGTTTAAGCTTGAGGGTTTGGGTCTAAGGTTTGGCTCGTAGGCTTTGTGGGCATCAGCGGCGAGGGCAGAGCCAGGCGATGCATCGTGTGTGAAGCCTCGCTTGAGTAGTGGCAAAACAAGGAGATGCTTGCAGCGATTTAGTGTCACAACAGGTAATGGCCTAGGGGAGTAAGAACCCTCGACCCGAAACCCCAAGCGCCCACTGCCCACTTCGGAAAGAACATCCCNNAAGCCCTAAGCCCTGAAATCCTAAACCCTAAACCCTAAACCTTAAACCCTAAACCCTAAACCTTACACCTTAAACCTAAGCCCAAGAGACCCTAAACCTCGAGGTCTGCGACGGGCTTGGAGCCGGAAACGGCGCCGGAGGGCGGCTTCTGAGGGACAGCTCCCGGAAGCGGCCACGGTTTAGGGTTTAGGGGTTTAGGGGTTAGGGTTTTAGGGTTTTAGGGTTTAGGGTTTAGGGTTGAGGGTTGAGGGTTGAGGGATCAGAGTATCCCCTCAGAGTCCCCTCGAGGGTTCTGTTAGGGTTTCGGGTTTCTGGTTTCAGGGTTTTTAGGGCTTCGGGCTTAGGGTTGCGGGTTTGGGGTTTCGGGTTTCTAGGGTTTCGGGTTCAAGTTCAGGGCCTAGGATATAGGGTGCAGTGTTTGGGGTAAAGAAAATCCAGACGAACTCTGTGTAAGCCGTTCGGTTGGTGTCGGGGCATGGCTAGCTTTCTCGCAGGTTCCTGCAATCGTATGTCTGTGGCCAGTGCACGCACCAACCCCTCTGAAGCCTAAACCTTTAGCCCGATTAAGGCCCTAAAAAAAAGCTACCAAAAGCTACACCACAGACAGGCCATTGCTGTAAGGCCTGAAAGCAAGGCAGTGACATCACGGGGTCCATGGCCTTGCGAGAGGAAGATGGGGATCAAAAGCTTCCGATACCCAACCCCAAGCTGTGAAGGTGGTTTGCACGAGCAGTGTGGTAGACACCATTGGGTTCTTGCGTGATACAGTAGTTTAAACAGAGACAGCTAGTGTAAGCGCGAGGTGCCCGCTGATGCACACCTGGAATATTCTGCGCTCCCGCTGTGGCGCGGTACATGTTCTGTCATCATTTGCTCTCATGCCCTTTTATTTTGCACAGTCTGGTGCGGCCGCGATTTTTGCACAGTCTGGTCCGGCCGCGATCTCCGGAAAACGCGATTCATCATAAATGGCTTGAGTCGCGTCGGTACATGTGCGGGAAGCATTATAGCCATGTCTCTGAATCCCACGACTCCAAGGTAGGGGTTGTGGTCTCTCCCTCCCTCCCTCCCTCCCTCCCTTTGGAGAACCCCTGGAGGGGTAGCTGGGAATGCGGACGCGTGTAGTGTAGTGTTCAAGGTTGAGGTTTCCAGAGTTCCGAGCCAGTGCTTCAAAGCCATCCGGGGGCAGCGTGAGGATTGAAGATGTGCTCTTCTTGCAGAATTTCCTAGCCGAAGCATGGTGAATGTGTCTTTGCAGCCATATTAGGCCATTGCCTTCTCCTACCAAAGAGTGGGGAGTGAGGCGCCCGACACAAAATGACTCGAGACCGCAGCGGACGCCAGGTTGAACCGGGTCCACGAAGCAGTTTATATATGCTTTTGTTTTTTCTTTGGGGGGGGTCTGGGGTTTTGGCTTTCGGAAGCTTTACTCTTTGAGTAAAGTTTAGGTCTAGGTCTGGAGTATCAAGATACCAGAGCTCCATACTAAATGCGCTAGAGTCACTTCCTGGTGTTTTTCCAGCGATGACGTCCGCGATGCCCGTCGCCGCTGTCGTTCCACGCCCACAAGAAGGCCACGAGCGACATCAGGTTTACAGCCCCAGGGCCCAATTCGCCCCAACATCCAGAGCCATAGTTCCATGCTAGAGCTCGATAAGCGTCGATAATAAGGGTCTGGATGGGTGAAAATACGGCTGGGTCATGAAAGAACGGGTTGAGTCTCATCGCATTTCGGCCAAGCTCGAAGACTGCTACAAGTTGAGGATGGTTTTGGCGCGCCTTCGTTCACAGGCTGCTGGGTTACAAGGGCTTTGGGCAGGGTTGTGAGAATATGCTACTAAGTGTTCAGGCATTTATTTCATATAGGAGTGGAAAATTCCACTTCTACTGAGTTGCCTCTCGGTCTGCCCAGTATCTCCAACAGTCCCTTATCGAAACATGAGGCTCCCAGTCGATAGCTGGCTGATACTGCAAAAGGGACTTAGCTACCCTAGCCGTTCGTCGGCCGGATGAAAGACCCTGCAACCTAGGACCTCAATCTAAGCCGTTGCCTACAGCCGCAAACCCCAAAACACTGAACCCTGAACCTAAAGCCTAAAGCCCCAACAACACCGAAGCCTTCAAGACACATAGCCGCACCTCCACAGGCGATCTTCACTCTGTCTTCCGAGTTGGGGACCAGGCCAGCGTGCGCAGAGGGTTTCGGACTCCGGATTTTTCGGTTTTTCGGGTTTTCTGGGTTCGGCCATGGGGGGTTCTGGGGCCCACCGTTGAGGGCAGCCCTAAGAGCATCGGGGCTCTACTGTGGCTTTCGGAGAGATGGCTCTTCAAGAGGGGCTTGCCGAAGCTACGTTTGTATCTAGCAACCCCCTTCCCGACCCTTCAACACTGTGCTGAGAAATGGTGGGAACATGCGTACATTATCGCTTCTTCATGAAAGCAGCTGAGACACTTGCGTGGCAAGTGGGTAGCTGTCGTGTAGGAGGGAGCCCTCTTGGGTTTCAGCTACGGCGTAGCTACGGCCACCTTTGCAGGATTGATCCGGTCCTTGCCGCAGTCATGACCTGGTGAAAGGGCCTGAAGCATTGAATCCTGTGCCACGGGGATCTCCTCTAGGGTTTAGGATGGGTCTTATGCTTAAATAACTTGTCTTGTCTTGTGTGCGGATCGGTCGAGCCGCTATTCGCGGCGCATCCCAAAATTGGTTGAATTCTGGTGAAACTCTGTGCAAAGTGGTCCCCGATGCCAATAGGAGGATGCAGTTTGCCGTGGGCCTTCAGTGGACCGCCCCCTGAGATACTCTTCGATCCACTCGATGACATCTGCAGGTGGCCTGTATAGGGGTTTGAAAACATCTAACGTGACCTGCTCGGACATAAAATCCAAGTCCGCAAGACGTTCTGCTGCTGTAGGCAGTCTGGGCCCCTGTACAACTGCGGCTCCTCCATGCCCTCGGAAACATTCCCATTTCCCTTTACGGATCAAACGGTCTCGTTGAACCACATCGTATTCAGCTTCCCGTATTTGTTCCGTAGTCATGGGCGGGATGAGGTGGCAAGCCCTCCTGAGGCACTCATCATGTCGTTTGAGATGCAGCTGCACCAGGCGAACATCTCCTGTCCAATGATGACAAGATGGGCAAAAGTTGTCATAGGCAAAATGCCTAGCTCGACTCCACAACTTATGTGCCCTTGCCATATGAGCATACAAGTGTTTGCGCAACGGAAATCCAGACGCACAGACTGGGCATGTAAACTCGTCTGCTGCGATGTGTTCGCATGATGGTCGGGATGCTGCAGCGATGGAATCATGCGGCCGTTGCGCGGCCTTTTCGATGTCTGCGAGAAAGGCTTTCTGCATGAGCTGCACTTGCCGTCCCCACCATGCTGGATCTTCGAGTAAAGAGTCAAGAATAACGGTGACCGGGCATCGCCGCTCGAAAAAGGGGGCAACCTGTGGGCAATATGCTTGCACTAATGTGGCGTCCGTCTTCAGCTGGTTCAGCCAAGAGCTCTTGGGGTGACAGACCCAGTGCTGGTACAAGAGCTGTTTCAAAGCTATGGGACCGTTCAGGGTAAGCTGTCGCAGAAAAGCTGCACGTGTCTTAGCAAGCGCTATGGGCGGTGAAGGTGCCTGGGACGTGCGCAGCACCTGCAAACTGTGTGGCTGTTTGTCCGCTGCCGCCCGCGGTAGCAGCGAGCGCCACACCTGGACATACGCCCTGTCCCACAGCCTTTGTTGTATGGCGGCTGGCAAAACGAGTGAAGCTGCTGAATGAACCAGTCTGGAGACCGAAAGGGCCCTTAGAAGGGTACGGCGGGTGTGCAAGGGGATATCCCGATTGCGGAACAGCTTCCTGCGAAGCGGCTTCACAACTCCAAGAGCCTGAGACTGCCTAAGCAGAAGGTCGGGGCGAGGTGTGGCACTGGATGTCAGAATACCGCCAAGGTGACGGTATGAATGCACAATCGGCATCTCGTGCTGCTCGTTCGCAAGAGTGTCGCTCACTGGAATGTAATACTCCCCCTTTCCATTCTGCCGGCATTCTGGGTATTGATTCCAGTCGGTCGCTGCTGGAAGCAGGACAGCAGTTTTAGTACTGGCAAAGGTGAGGCGCATGCCGAGAGACGTAGCACGGCTAACGGTGCATTCCGCCGTGCGCTGTATGCGTCCCAGAAGCGTATCAGGAGTAGTAGCCGACTGCGGTAGGAAGAAGTCGTCGGCCCAGGCGGGGGCACCCAGACTGGTGGAAGGGCCAGCGACCCAATCGTGCAGAGGGGAAACTGGCGCGGCAGCTGGGCGAAGATCGGCTTGGTGGAGGTCCTTGTCTAGCACTTTAAGAAACTCTCCGAACGCCAGTTCGAACAGGAGATCAGCTGCAGGATCTCCTGGTCGTGTACCACAAAAAGTCATGGTTAGGATGTCATGTGTGTCTATCCTAAACCAAGTGGACCGCATGATGTCTTGGATCAATGCTGTTACCTGGTCCGTTGCCCCTAGGTCGGGCAGTATTGCAAGCCTATGCAGCTGCTCACAGAGGGCATTAGCAGCCTGAGAGGGCATGCCCATGCGGTGCAATAAATGCAGAATGCCCGTATCGTCCTCGTAGTGTGGTGTGAGTGCCTGCCTTACCACTCTATAAAATGCTGCTTGCACATCTACGAAAATGATACCCCAAGGCTTACGCAATGAATGGTGCTGGAGCTGGAAAGATCGAGCTGCCCAGGCCACTGCTTCGACCCCAATTCCTCCGAGTGCACCCAGCTGCAAGGCTGCCTTATCGGCTGCGTGCAATGGAACAAGCAGGTTGCGAAGATGCCGATGGTACACCTTCGCTGGGATGGAAGACAATAAAATGGACCGGTAATGGCTGCATTGGAGAGAGGCCCCTGCACGCTTGGCCAAGCACATGAGAGTGCCACCACGGAATTCGGTAGGTTCCCTCAAAGAGAGGGTGGTCTTGGTAAAGATCGGCATCAGGCTTCTGGCTGCGGCCTGCGGACACAGCCGTAGCAAGTCGGCGGTGAGGTTGTCTGGCCCCGCGGCCTTATGAGCCTTGAGCTTGGTGACGATGTCCTCGACGGCACTCAGAGTGGGCATGGAGGAAATCTCGAATGCGGCATCAACGACCTTGGTGTCAGAAGAGCGTTGGACATACTCATCGGCTGAAACTGCAACTCCTGCTTCCTGAGAAGCAAAGTGCTGCCTCCAACATTCTGCCTTATCGTGTGGAGTAGCCGCGAAAGGCCTTGGTCGTTGATCACTGCTGGGAGTGGTCTCGCCCCACTACGTCTTGCCGCTTTGGCCGTGGGAAAGGCTCGCCGTATAGCCTTATAGAGCGCTGCGGGCTGTTTAAGGCTGTGAGAGGCAACCTGCTTGACTAGGTCGTCCAGATACGCAATCCGGTCTCTGGCAACACCAGTGCGTAGCTGCTTCACTAGTCGATTCAGAATGGAAACTGCGGCGGACTCGCTGCTGTCCATATCGCGTAACCACGTGTCAGCCCTGCGGATGGCAGGGGCTGTGAAAGTTCGCTCGAGGCAGTGCAGCCGCAGGGCCGCGAAGATAATCAATAACCATCTGCGCTGGCGCTCGGTCGCCTCAGCGCGCAGATACTTGCGGAGAGCCTTACACCATTGAGCAACATTGAGTGTATGCGGAGAGAGGAAGGGCTGATGCGGTTGCTCCGTTCTAGGTGGAGTAAGATGGCGGCCTGCGACCGACCAAGTATCCACAAAGAACGCATCTTGCTCATCGATGTCGGCATTCCAGGGGCAGGTTGGCAGAGCACGCAAAACTCCCCGTTGATAGGATTTCTCCTCAGCAGAGGTGGGGGGAGGAGGGCGGACAGCCCGTCGTTTGCAGTCAAAGTATGGCACCTGGGACTCTGCATGTTGGTAGTCAACCTGTACAAGGACCGGAGAGTGGTCTTCGCGAAGCTGCAGGGCCTCGAAGCCCGTGAGGACAGAGGCGCTAACAGTATGCGAGAACCATGAAAGGGGAAGTACAACGAAATCGATGCGGTGCCGTTCCCCAGTGCAGGAACACCACGTGTCCCCAGGTCCTGTCTGCATATGCTCAAAGGTCGACGGCAAAAATCCTTCTACAGAAACCAGAAAATCATGCAGCAGTGAACCAGCTGGATTCTCTTCTGTGCCTTGGTATCCTGATACGTGCGGTGTCTCAATGGAACCCACTTGGGAATTAGCATCGACGAGAACAATGTAGTCGAAGCCTCTGGGTCGACGTTCGAGCTCTCGCGCCCGGTCTCTCCAAAAGGCTTCGACTGTCTTGTAGGGATGCGTGGCCAGCGAGGGGCAATGCGCTACCATGACGAAAAGTCGCAGGTGTGGCGCCACAATAGTGACATTGATGTGCCTGGGGGAGTATGCGGTTACCACTACATGATGGTCCTCGACGCAAAGCTTGCGCCCCTGTATGGTCCCATATGGTATGCGCCTAGATATCCAGAGTGCGCAGCCTCCAACGCCCGAATCAGTGGCACTAGCTTGGTAGATCAGATAATCGGGATCAGGGGCCTGGTTAGACTCCTGGAGACGAGTTTCTTGTAGACCTACCAGGAAGGGGCGATGAGGTTGAAGCTCTCGCTGAAGCATACCTTTTCTTCCTAAAACTTTCATACCTACATTGCGGGCAGCAGAAGCTTGCCCCTTATCCTTAAGCGTTAGTGTGTTGAAGGAGATGCAGTGGAAGCAGTAGTTCACTGGCGCACCACATGGCAGCTCTGCCCGCGCACCAAAGGTAGGGGCTCGCTGTGGTGCTGTAGGTTTTGCACGTAATCGGCTGGCTTCGCTTTCAAAGGCGAAGAGAGTGGGCATATCAGGCCCTGCCTGAGCCAATAGCCACAGCCATTGGGCCAGTGGATGCCTGCGGAGATGTGCAGGCCAGGAAGGCTGACACCTTTCCCAGAAGTCGACGTGACCTCTGCGCGCTGTTTTGGCGACCGCATCTGCTGCTTCACTGCCCAGGGCGCCAGAGTGCCCTTTGACATGATCATAATGAACAGAGGTTAATTGCTCGAGATACTGTCTCAGAAGAATGGCAAGGTGAACCAAAGAGACAGCACCGGGTGTGGTGGGATAATGCAGATGCTTCCATTCTCCGAAGATGCATCGTCCTGCAGCCTCAGCGTCAAAATAAAAGGTCACGTTGACCTGGTATTGTGGGGCATGTTCTACGGCCCAAACCAGAGCCCAAAGCAATGCCAAAAGTTCGCCTGTCAGAGCTGTGTCGCCGCATTCGCCAACATGAAATGGCGTTTCCGGCGGAGCGGCTTGACTCGCAGCTGCACCGTAAAAATATAAACCTTCAGTGGTCTGAAACCAAACGGTGAAGGCCCAGGAGCAAGGCATGATATCAGCTGAACTAGTGGCTGCCGAGCCATCTGTGAAAATCATGATCTCGCGAAGGTCGGTGACAACCGAACTGTGATGCCACTTGGGGATGGCGGCTAGCTGAGCGTGAAACCGACTATGTAAGAGAGGCGGATGGACTAAGGTATTCCAGTCGTTGTCCAACCAATCTGATGGCGACCCGTGAGCTGGCATGGGCACAACTTCTCTGAGTCTGAGCACCTGCTTCTGAAAATCCGAAAGCGGAATCTTGTCACACAGGGACAAGGAGCCTTGCCGAACAACCGGCTGTCCCACTATTTGTACACCCGCAAAGTATTCACTCAGGGTCTCTAACAGTGTGACAGCTTCCATCATGGCTCGGTTGCCCGGTTGGTGGAGGCTTTCCTCCAGCAAAGTCGGCCCGAGGTCATATTGATCCTGGTGTGGTAATCGTCCTCTGCACGGTGTGGGGACGGGCCTGGGTAGGGCAGGTTGACGAAGCACTTCCTTGGCAAGATGCATGTTTTGTGATGTTTGTCCCAGGGCCTCTTCGGTACGGCCTGCGGCGGGGACAATGCAGGCATAAAGCACAGCGACCACAAGGAAGGTACGTTGGTGTCTGTTACCTGTCCGTACAGCAGGGATGCAGCAAGTGCAGGCCAAGGCAACAAGGCTTGCGCAACAGGGGCTGCAGACTGTCAGAAATGCACACAGAACGAGGGCTAGAACACCATGAGTACTAGAAGGCGGCTGGGCTCGGGCACGGTTGGGTCTGCGCCTCTGACTGCTCTGATCATGACAGAGGGACTGGAGGATCGACGTGTCAGAAAGTGGGACAGGGGTGCCGGCAAGAGTCCATTAGGCACATGACCTTGCGACCTGCTGACATGTCTACTACTTCACCAGTGGCATTGGTCTGGTTGGAAAAAGGGCCAGGAGGCAGGGGGGCTGCGAAGCATTGGATAGTCCTCCTGGTGTTTCTCGGGGCCTAGGAAGCCCTATGCCACTATCCACGACAGGAACATAGAGGGCAGTCAGCCACTGACCTGGTGCAAGACGGTACCATCCGTCTGCAGGGTGGGCACCTTGCAAAGCAACAACATGACCTGCTGGAGCAAAAGCCTCGAGTTCTTCCTGCAAGAGACGGGCATTGAGAAGGCCGTGAGGAGCCCAGGTAACATACCAACCTTGCAAGAGTGGCCTGCAATCAACCATGACAAGGTGTGATGGCGCGTGCATAGGCCCACTTTGCCTGGAGGCTGCAGCAACTGCAGTTCGACACGGCCACCCCCTGACAGCTGCATCTTCAACGCGGGGACGTGCCGGCTCAAGCACGAGCTGTTGTGGAGGACACGGAAGAAAGGCAGCAAAGTCAGTACGATAGTACATGGCTCGTGCCGGGGGGAGACGGAACAATCTGTGTCCTCCCTCTGTAACCGCGCAGTAGCAATCGTCTATCGTCTGCACCTGATAAGGAATGCTTTGCCGCCAGGCCATAGGAAACAAAAGGATGGCATCTATGTCAAGAAACGGCGCTGGCGGCCGACCTTGTGGAACTATTGACACAGTATGCCCAGTGAGAAGCTGCATGTCCTCATCACTGCGAAGAGGTGCCTGACCTGTGGGAGAGTAAATGTCGACACCGTGTACCCATAGACCGGTCGCCTGAAGTACCGAAAAGCGGTCAGCTACTCTTGACAGAGCACAGGCAAAGACCCTGCCATCATACTGTTGCAAGTCGATGCATACTACCGCATTGGGAGAGTCCCAGGCAGGGAGTGCAAGGAATGTCGCAAAATGGCGAGAAGGCTGGGGCCAAACCGGCAACAAGTGCGGGTACAACGTGGTAGCCCGGGCGTTGCGTGCTTGCTGTATGCAAGCAATGGCATGTGCAAGCTGAACCGGATGAAAAAGCCATACAGTAACTGTTTCAGTCTGGCGATCAGGCACTAAAATGGCAACGGTCAGCTGGCTGGGCTCCGGCGGGCCTGCAACGTCCAAGAAGAAAGGGTCTCCAGGGAGTGGGACACGGGGGGCCTCACCATGTCGCAAATAAGGCCATGGCTGCCCAAAATGGGCTTGCGCAGTGCGGGCATCGCGCAGCCACGCGTCTGATGGATGGCTTCCTGAGGCCGGTTCTGAGAGTAACTTGTGTTGCTGAAACGCCTGAACTTCAAGGCAGGGGAAATGGCACACAAGGGTGAAAGACCTGCCCAAACTGGTGCAAAGCAGGGCCTTGCAGTGATCAGGCCATGCAGGTCGAACATGGGCTTTGTCAACAGAGAGGTCACTGGAAATGGACTGCGCCTGGTTGGTGTGGCGTCGGGGTGTTCGACTGCGCGCTACGACCTGATGGTTTCGGGGGGAACGACCTCCACGCGATAGCTCGGCATGTGTGGCAGAACCTGCGTCGCCTGAGACGGTATCTTCGCTGTCCGTGGAATCACTAGAGTCGTCAGAGTCATCATCTGAGGCTGGATCTGAGCCATCCGGCCCTTGCTGTGACTGATCGGAACCAGACAGATAGTCCAAGACGAACTCTATGGTTAGGATACTGCCTTGGCTGACGAAACAAGCAGTGCCTGCCTGGCAGCGGACAGACGTACCGCCCTTGACGACAACCGAAAAACCTTCTGGCGCAAAGTGTTGGTAATGACGCTCTATACGGTCCAAATTGACGAGACCGTCATACACAATTTCCCAGGTGACGTCCCTGATAATGGGTCGAAGGTCAAGAAAAACAACACTTTGAAATAGGAGCCTGCCGGGCGGTTTGGGCAGCCGGCCAAGCTGCTCTGTCGCTATAACGACGGCGTCACAGGTCTGTGCAGTTCCTAATGCGTGGCTCTGCTACACAGAAAGAGGTGCGCTCTATATGGTACTGAAAGACCTGAACTGCCAAGGCCCGAAATCCTTCTGGTGAGGGAATGGTGGCAGTAGTGAAGGTCAACACTTTATGTCCAGCATCAGCTAAAAGCATAAAGGCGGCTTCTGCAGGCCCTGGAAAGAGAGGGCAGGGCTGCACCCAGTGTCTGGAGCTGGCAAGCATGTTATCGAGGGTGTACATTGTGGGAGCACGCTGCCCTGAGGGCACCACAGACATGACACACCCCTGCTCGATGTGGAGGACTTGGTTATGAGCCATGTGACGACCATTGACAAAGATATGTAGTTCCGGGTCGACAGCAATGCCAATATAACCGAATAGAGCGCTACAAAGGAGGCTTGCGGGCAAAACGCAATGGTAAAGACTACCATTAAATGGCCTGGAATCTATCAGGGCCCCACAAAGGTTCTCCGCCCACCCTGGCAAGGCGAGCAAAACAGCAAAAGTACGATCCGGTTGCCAAGTTGGCAGGAAAAGATAATCACAGCGTAGGGCGTCATCCGAGTCCCTGGCATCTGTAACTTCCTGCATGGCATCGTTGACGGCACAAGGTGCTCTCAGAACTAAAGCGATCACTTCAGCTGCATATCTCGGCGCCAAAACAAGAAAATTGGCAGAGATGAAATCTGGCGGCGGAGGACCTACTGGCACCTGTCTTGTCAATATGGGCTGAAGCGGCTCATGTGGTGGGGGCCTCTCTGCAGTCGGCACCTGGATGTCTATCTCCAGGGCATGCTGGAGCTCATCCCTAGATGCTCTTGGCGTGTGCCACTTGGCATCCGGGTTCCGTGACTCCGTAACATTCCCCGAGGAGGCTATAGGGTCCAGGTGGTGTGAACCCGAAGAGGCTGCTGCTTCTGAGTTACTGGGTAGGCGAGGCTCAAGCCGAACTATTAGGGTACAACCTTCCCAGAGCTGGACCTGATCCGGTCTAGTTGGAACCCCTGAGACCTCGAACTCATACCCTGGGGGCTGTTTTATACCTAAGGATCGAACGATCGGCGCTGCATCATGCCAACCGTCCTCCAAGAAAAGGAATGTGGGCTCTTCACCGAGTTGCCTGACGTCCATAAACACAAAAGAACCCAGCTTAACCCCTGGTCTGACATCTGGTGGCCTCGGATGTGCAGCAATGACACGGGTAATGGTGCACCCGTGTTTAACATACGGCAAAAGAGGACTGCTGTCCTGCGGTGCCCCATAGGAGAGCTGTTCGGGCTTGGTATGCCTGGCCGTTGCGATATAGGACCACAAGAGACTGTCCGAAGCGCGCTCGGCTGGGAAGAGCCATGTGCCGTTGTCGGTAATGGCAAGGCACTTGGTCGAAGGAGGCTCTGTATACAGTCGTGCTGCTGTTTGTTCCCAAAGATGCCTGGAACCTAGGGCTTCTTGCAGTGACACGGCCCAGTCAGGGCTACGTCCTATCGGCATGAATTTGAAAACATCGCCTGACGCCACATTAATGCGATCCCCTGTCTGTATAGGGCCATGTTTCC